GCACGCACGCACGCACGCACGCACGCACGCTTGTCGCCCGGCTTCTATGTGTGACCTCTGACCTCATGTGCGTGTGCCGCCCGTGAGCGTGGAATCCAATCCGGGTCGTCCTCGTGGTCGTCCTCTGAGAATCAACACGCTTCCACGCTCCCCCTGAGCGCCAACTGAACCTGCTGCACATCATAGACAAGCCTGCAGTAAAAGCAATCAGGCTTCCTCCTGCATCTGCAGCCTCTTTCATTCCGCCCTGAACTACCTTGGAGCAAGCCCACCTCGCTCGATCCTGCGTCACACTTCATCTCACCCACCCCTTCATCATCCCTTCTTTGTTGCGACCATCCCCTTGACACTTTGCTAGGCTGCCTGGCGCCGAAGCGTCTCGGCCGCTCCTAACGCACAATGCCTCCACAATCGTGGGCTCGCTCCACCGCACCATTGCTCGCCATCCGCAGCACCGACCCGGACACCACCTTCCAAGGCCACGACTCGACGGACATTGCCAATGCGCTAGCAGCACATGCTCACAACATGGCCGAGATCGCCAAGGAGTCGGCTGCATCCTCGGACGTAGGCGCCGCTTCGTTTCAGGGTCACGACTCTGCTGACGTCGCAAACGCCATCCAGAACTACGTTGTCAACCACCAGGACGAACCATGGCCGCAAAAGTTCACGCAGCCCGGCCAGAGTGCCTCTGGTGTGCAACAGACAGCGGTGGATCTGGCTGCAAGCGTACATGCTGTCACTGCAGGCTCGGACAGCACCATCTTTTCTCTATCCGGTCACGTCCACGATCAGTACTGGATGAGCATCCTGCTCTGCATCGTCTGGATCGTTCTCGGTCTCTTCATGCTCTTCTTCGGCTGGGCATCGTTCTTCTGGGGATGCAAGGTCGGCACGAAACGAAGCAGGATCGACGACAAGGCCAAAAAGCCTCGCCGCTTCTCTTTCCTCTCTACAGGCACGCCGCTCGCAGGCGGTGTTGGCGGCGTCGTCGTCGGCTTCCTCTTCTTCTCTTTCCTCACCACCGTCATCACCTCGACCATCTGCATCACCCAGGCCAAGTCGGTGTCTTCAACCTCCTTCTTTGTCATCTGGCTAATTCCAGGTCTACTGGGCGCAGCTCTGGCTGGACATTGGTCGCTGCTCTCCCGCGCATTCACCGGCTTGCTGGCAGGCGCCTGCTTCACCCTCATCGTCACGGCAATGTTCGGTATCCACACGCTGATCATCCGCGCCATCTTCATTTCGGTCTGCACCAGCCTCATCACCGCGCCACTCCTTCTACCCAGACGCAGCGCTATCCACTTCCATCTGCTAAACATCTGCACCTCCCTCATCGGTGTCGTGACGTTCCTCGATGGAGTGGCGCTCTTCGCTCCGCCTCGCGCCAGCTCCGACTCGTGGATCGACCTGTGGGTGCTCCTGTTTGCACTCGATGGCTCGGCTTCCGAGGCAAGCGCATCCAAGAAGTGGGGCACCTCGGCCTTCAAGGGCTTCATCGCTGCTGCCGTCCTCGGTGCTGTTGTCGGATTCCTCTTCGAGTTCGTCTTCCACAAACACGCGTCGGAGGACCCTGATATGGAGTGGAACAACTACCTCGGATCCTTCACCCAGCGTCTCGAGTCTCGCCAGCCCGCGGACGCAGGAGACCGCGCGGGCTCTTTCGAGCCTGCTCCAGGTGTCTGGCAGAAGCTCTCGCGTGCCTTTACTCCTTCAGGCCAGCCTGCGGCTTACGGCAACATCTCGACCGGTGGCGATCTCGAAAAGAGTCCGCTCACCAACCTCCCGGGCGCGGCATCAAGGAGACAGGCTCGTCGCGCTCGCTCGTCCAAGAACCGTGGCGGCCCGGCCAAGTTCGAGGCGCTGGACAAGCGTCACAGCGACTTTGACTTTGACTCGGACTCGGACGCCACCGAATACGACAGCGACTCGAGCCTACATAAGCTCAACCCGCGCAGCAAGGCCGTTTCGGCCAAGAGCATGATCAGCAAAGCCGATGCAGATGAGCTTGCCGACGAGCTGAGGCCTTTGAGCGCTAGCAACGACTCCAAGGCCGATGCCTTGCGTCTTCCAAGGCCTCCCAGCTATCGCACCAACAGCAGCGCAAGCGGATCCGGATCAACTGGCAGCGGCCTCAGCGGCACCACGATCAACTCCAGCGGCGATCCTTCGCGCGTCTCGAGCCCAGCCGCGCTGTCCTCCCCGACGCGACCATCGTTCTCGCGACATACCACACAGTCGCCTCCGCCGCCCTTCCCCACCGCCGAGACTCAGCTCTCTGGCTCCCTGAACCCCTCGGTCCCCGCAACGCCCTCGCTCGTCCATGCAATCACTCGCATCCAAGCTGCCCAGGCACAGGCCCGCGCCTGGTACGAGACACGGCAAGAACAGACCTCGTCCGGACTCAAATCGCCTCCCTCGGACCAAAAGAACGCACTCGGCGCATCAACGTCGGCAGAAGAGACGACGTTTAAGGACGTTCAAGATGCAACAGCACGCGCTGTATCGCCCACGGTCAAGCCAGAGAACGCCGATTTCCAGAGCTGGTGGGGTAAGGAGGTCAAGGGTGACAAGAGACCTTCGTCGTAACATGTTCGGTGGCGCTTCCTCCCGATTCCGGACCCAAGTGTGAGCGGGATCGATGAATGCACTTCCGCATAAGATTGTCGTTCATGGGATGCCTCAGTTTTCCAGCGTCTTGAAGAACTCGCCTTGTGGATCGTAAGCGTCGGGTTCTCAAGGCAACGATTCCTGTATACTTTTAACTCCATAATGCATCTTTCACGTTAGGACAATATCATCTGATGCGACAAGTGCAGAGTCGAGTGTGTTCTCAGAGACAAAAGTGTCGCCTCTTGGTAAGGTTAGATGGATCGTTTTGATTGCGATCGCAGCTATACGCTACAAGTTCAGTCGAGGCTCTTCTGACGGCCGGAGATGAGCAAATACACCGGTACCCGACCTGCGAGCCTTTGTCGAAGGGCGTTTTTGGTAAGAGCTGGCACGAGCCCAGCAATGCAGAGACGACCGTTTGTGAATGCGGACGCACTGCCACACCTGGTCAGACGAGTTTCTTCAGTTGCCACCGCTGTGAGTGGCACTGCTCTTGCGGTAGTCGCCGCCGTGCTCACTGCCCTTGCCGTTGCCATAGCCGTGGCTGGCTTTTGTTGCCGCCGCGTCCGTCGTCTCCCTTCTGATCGCCACC